GGGATCCTCCTGCCTTCTTCCCCCCAAATGTTAGGATTATTGGCATGAGCCACCACAACATCCCCAGGTCATCAAGATATTTAAAGAGTTGAAAGGCATTTCTAGCTTTATTAACCAAACCTCCTGTGTTATACCTGGGGCTTCAAGTTTGGAGACAACAGTGTGGAAATAAAAGCACTAGCCAAAGTCACACTCAGATCATCGGGGCTTAGAAACAACATTCACTGAGACCAGCCCCAAGCCCTAGTGGGAGAAGGCTTTTTCTTTAAATACTACTTTCATCATTGTTAATTAATAAAATTTGCATTTAGATCAGGTAGCAGATGGTCGCATGCACCAACACGGGCTGTTTGAATGGGCAGGCTGTCCCACTGGCCCTACTGACCTCTCATAAATCACTCAGTCTACAGGGCTGCTCCCCCCCCATGCAGCTCCCACCCGGGAGCCCAGACACCAGGACTTGGAGCCCAGGTCAAGCATCATGGCATTTGCTGAGCTTGGAAAGAGGCTGCTTTCAATTCCACGCACAGGGAATGAAGAGATCTGGTTTTCAGCCAGAGTCTGCTGCTTGCTGGTGAGCTTTGAAAAAGCTACCAAATTCAGTATGGAGCCATTAGAATATGGGATGAGAAGGTGCCTAGCCTGTCACAGCCACGGTGAGGAAAGTGTGCCATATCTAGTGGACAGGGAGAGTGGGTAGCTGGGTCTTCCCTCCCACCTGGGGCTGCCCCAGGCTTCAGATGAAGCTTGATCCTGGGACCAGGACCTGGGTTTGCTCCAGCCCAGCCAGGGCCACAGCCACGGCCAGCCAGGCCCAGATGTGGGAAGAGAACCCAGATCCTGAACCTCTTTCATTTCTGCCCAGGGCCAGGCTCTGCCTCCTGGTGACTTGGCACCTGTCCCAGTCTGGGCCACTGTAACAAGATACCAGAGGTGGGGGCCTTGCAAACAGAAGACTATTTCTCATGGTCCTGGAGGTTAGAAGTCCAAGACCAAGGCACCGGCAGATGTGGAATCTGGCGAGGGCTGGTTCACAAACAGCACCTTCTCACTGTGCCCTTGGATGGTAGCTCCGGCAAGGGAGCCTCTGGGGCCCCTCTTATAGGCCCCAGATTATAAGATCATGAATCCCATTCAGGAGGGCTCTGCCCCTAGGACCTCATCACACCTCCTAAAAGCCTCTGATTTCAGAACTTTCTGCATTAATTATACCCTTTCCCCTTTTGGCTCACTATAAACATTTTGGGGGTCCTGGAAAACCCCATTTTGGCTCAATGTGCAAAACTCTGCACACGGGATATTTATAACAGCTTTATCCACTACTGCCCAAATGCGCAGGCAATCAAGGCATCCTTCAGGGGGTACAGGATAAACAAACCACGTCCACCCAGACAGTGGAATATCATTCAGGGCTGAATGGGCCACCAAGCCATGAAAAGACAGGGAGAAACTTCCCACTTTCCTAAGTGAAAGAAGCCAACCAGAAAGGCTGAACACTGCACAATTCCCACTACCTGACGTTCTAGAAAAGGCAGAACTATGGAGACAGTAAAAAGATGGATGGTTGCCCGGGGTTGGGGAGGGGCGGAGATGAACACGTGGAGTGTGGAGGAGTCTCGGGGCAATGCGACAATCCGCTGTGCTCCTACAAAGCAGTGATGTTACACATTTGTCAAAATCCAAAGAACGTACAAGGCCAAGTGTGCAAAGGCTACTCATTTTAAAAAGGGGGGAGGGGAGGAACGCAAATCCTCCTTTACAGAAGACGACCAGTCACCGCCAGAAGGCAGACTGACTTGGAAAACTACCACTTGGCAATCAACCACGTGAGAACTGAGTCAATCACTGTGTTTCCAATTTTTTAACTGAGAATAAATATTTCTGTCAAGACTAAAAAACAAAACAAAACCTGAAGCCACGAAGTTCAATCACTGTGAATTACAGGGTGGGACAGGGAAGATGGAGGAAGAGACTAAGAACCTACCTGCCCACCTACATCGTGCATTCTGGCTCCTGAGCCCCCACTCGATGGGGCCCTGTCCCCTGCCTGGTCCCACTGGTCTCTGCCTGTGCTGGAGACCCTGGATCACCTGCTTTTGTGGTGTCAGGAGCCACTGAGTGGGGCTCTGATGACAAGGGGGGTTTCTGTTCCTTCTCCGGGTTGGTCTCTCTCATAAATACAAGAAGTCCTGGGGATACTTCAGTAACCAGGAGGATAAGCCCCCATTACAGCCACACTACGGTCTCCGGCAATGGACTCCCAGGTCATTCCTGCTCAGTTCTGGGGAGAAGTGGTTGAGGGTCCAGCTTCTGTTTTTTAGCCTCTTTTAACTTCTACTGCTTAGTAACTGCTGACAGCAATCAGGGATTTTATGATTTGGTACCAACTCCATCCCTAAGTACAATGAAAGTGGATTCACCCCAGACAAACTCAAGGGAAAGAGCCATGTCCCTCTATCTGGACATATCTCAGGGTCTGGGTCAATGTGGTTTTAGGAGTGAAGTTAGGATCTGTCCTGGAATAACAGCCGTTTCAAAACCTTAACATTGAAAGACAGTAACAGCTGGTGGAGAGGCTGTGGGGAGGCCTGGCTCACATGGAAAGGTCACTGGGGAGGAAGGAGTGGCTGAGATGTACCCCGACCTCCCACTACCACTGACCAGGACAAGGGAGAGGAGCCGCCACGTTGCTAGGGGCCAGGACCCCAGTGGAGCCAGAATCCACTGGACACAGTCGTGATGAGGCCAGGATAGAGAAGAAGGCAGCTCTCCCCAGGCCAGGAGGCACTAAGGCCCAACACTGGCCCCAGGAGGGAAACCAGATCTGGATGAAGGCTGTCTGTGAATGTACTGAAGGCTCAAGTTCATGCCCAAGAACCTATCTGTCCATTTACGTGTACAGCCTGGGCACCAGGGAGCTACTTCTCCCTGCATGAGAAAGTGGTCCTGCCCTCAGAGCCAGGCCAGCGCAGAGGACCTTGCAGGAGAGAAACCACCATGTCAACCCAGCGGGAGACACGTCCATATCAGGGAAGGACGGATAGATGGACAGGGCCCTCCTGAGCCTCCTGCCAATCTGCGCCCCACTTGGCAGTGTGCCCTTGCCCAGGGGCTCAGAAAAACTCACGTCCTTCCCCTGTTACTCCAAAATCAACAGTCACTCATCTATGTGAGATCAAACTCTGCAGCTGTCCCCCGCCAGGCAGGCTCCACCACCCTCATCACCACACTCCTCCCTCTCCCACCATCTTCTTCCAAGAGTACCCACCTCAGCCCCCTGCTCCACCCACCTAGCCAGGGCCTGCAAGGACCCCCAGTGAATCCTGGCTTCATGCACATCCCTGCTCTGCACAGGCACCTGGGGCCTCCTTCCCTCATGTTGTGTCGGTGCCTGGCCCAGTGCCTGCTCACCTACAGTCAGGCTCTCACTCTCCACCTCACCCCGATCCCCCGGCTGCATGCTCTGCCTCCCTGGGAGCCTGATCCCTCAGGCACCGGAGCTGCAACCTGCAAGCCCAGGCCCTGCCCGTACACTGCTCACAGGTAAACTTCAGAGACATAGACAATGGCCAGGCACAGTGGTTCACACCTACAATCTTAGCACTCTGGGAGGCTGATATGGGTGGATCCCTTAAGCTCAGGAGTTCAAGACCAACCTGAACAAGAACGAGACCCCTATCTGTACTAAAAATAGAAAAGTTAGCTGGGCATGGTGGTGGGAGACTGTAGTACCGGCTACTCTGGAGGCTGAAGCAGAAGGTTCCCTTGAGCTCAAGAGCCTGAGGGTGCTGTGAGCTACGATGATACCATGGCACTCTACTCAGGGGGACAGAGTGAGACTCAATCTCAATAAAAAAAAAAAAGAGAGAGAGACAGATTTCTGTACAGAGGCTATCAGAACCCCCAACCAGTGCTCAGATAGGGGAGTGCAGACTGGATCCACAGCCAGCAGGGTCCCCCCCAGCACGAAGGGTGTGAAGAAGCCCCTACCAATGATGGGAAAGCCCTAGTCTTCACTGACAAATGCATCTCTTGTGTGCTTAATCACTCTGAAGCACGCACCTACATGTGCTGATAGCACCAAAGCCTGCAGGAGCCAGGAGCAGGGCTGACACATCCCAGGAGGGCTGGGAGGGAGGGGCCCACTTCCCAGTCCAACAGGCTGTCCCCTAGCCCAGAACCACCAACCTAACGGGACGCACACCCTGAGTTGCTCCCTTGCCCCTCTCACCCAGGGCTCTGTGCCCCACAGCGACCTGACCTCTGCCTGCCCATGTCAGCCAGTGTCTCGCTGGCAGGGGGCCCTCCCCTGGGGCAGCTGTGCCTCCCACCAAGGGGACACTGGGCAATGTCTAGAGATGCTCTTTTCACAACACCAGGTTGCTCCTGGCATTGAGGGAGGGAGGCTGGGGTGCACAGGATGGCCCCCCAGCAAAGAAGTGTGCAGACCACAGAGGACAACAGTGCCGGAGTTCAGAGACTTGAGAAACCTCACATTTGCGGAACCACCAAGAGCCTATGCCATGTTTCCAACTAATGCTTAGAGGCTCAGGCTCAAAAGGAGTTTGGTGTCCAGCAGGGGGCATAAGATACTCGCCTGTTCCTGCCTGTCTGCTGGGGGTCCGCACACACACCACATGTGTCCCCAACATTCATAAACATGCACATCCCCAGAGCAGAAGCTCTGTGAGGTCTGCGTGTGCTCAGAGCTGGCACGCAGCCACACAATGCATGTGGGTCGTCTGTCCACTCATTCAGTCATTTACTCATTTACACTTAGGCACTGCAGACCCTCCGCGTGCCAGGCCGAGTCGGTGGGATGCCGTGTGAGGGAGACAGGCTCGGCCCCTCTGAGAAGTCACAGGAGAAAATACACTTTGAAAACCCCAGTAAAGCCAAGTAAACCTAAGTGTCGCACTGCTCGAGTGTCACCTGCAGGACAAAGTGACTTTTCTACACTTCTGTAAAGCTTGGTAAAGTCCTGGCTAATAAGGACCCACCTCCTGTCTCCAGGTCATGGAAATTGGGATCCAGGCCTCGGTCCAGCATCTTGACGATTTTCTCCACTGAACGATGGTGGATATGATCCATGCATTTTTTCAGATTGGTCTAAAAGGGGAAAAAAGAAATGTCTCTGTAAGAAACGTCTTTATGAACTATGGATGGTACAGTTCCTTGCTGGGCTGTGCTCTGGCCGGGGCCCTCTGTCCAGCCTGGGGTTTGCTGGGCAGTGTCCTCTTGTGTCTGGACCCCTAGGCTGCAGCCCAGATTTCTACACTTGGCAACACAATCAGCCTGCCCTGGACACGTTTTAAAACCCCTCACTAACCACTGTCCTTGTGCAATGGAGCTAATGCTTGTGTCCTCCCAAATTCACAGGTTGAATAACCTCCAGGGCCTTTGGGAAGTGGTTAGGTCACAAGGGTGGAGACAACAGCCATCTATGAACCAGGAACTGGCCCTCACCAGACACCGAATCTGCAGGCACCCTGAGATCTCACGGCCTCCAGAAACACATTTCTGCTGTTTACAAGACACCCAACGTATTCTATTAGTCTAAAGGGATGAAGACATCTTACTAAGAGCTACGTGGCCCCTCACTTTCGAGAAGATGAGCTGAGCCTCCCAGAGCACCCTGAAGAACTACAGTTTCTGGGGGCCCTGTGGACCCCTTTGCCTCCATCCTGTGAGCAAGGCCCTAGAGCAGGCACTTGTGTTTTCTGTTCTCTAAAAAGGGAGCTGTGACAAGAGCTACCCAGAGGGTGGCAGAGGCAGAAACAGCAATGCCTGGTCACCCAGCGGATCAAGGTTCAGGGGGAAAGGGAAGCACACGTCTCTCACTCAGGGAATCCCAGAGATCAGCAGCTCACCCTGACGGCAGATGCCTTCCCTGCCTGAGAGGAATAATGACCTCCTGACCAGCCAGCAGACAGCCTGGCCACTTGCGCAGGGCTGCACGATTGGCACCCTCCCCCTGGAGGACTCCAATTTGCCTCTCTGGCCTTGGTCTCCACCCTGCCCTGTGCTGTCCCAATGCAGGGAGGGAAACAATGATGGCTTTCAACACTGGGGGCTCCCGGGCCCCTCAGCCTCTTCACTCAAGCTGGATTTCCACCTGATCATCCTCGGTACACTCCAGAAGTAGGACGGATCCAATGGCCCCAACACAGGACCTAAAATGGCCTCACCAAAAACCTTCCTTGCATGGCTCGGCACCGTAGCTCAGTGGTTACACTGCCAGCCACATACACCAAGGCTGGCGGGTTTGAGCCCGGCCTAGGCCAACTAAACAACGACAACTACAACAAAAAATAGCTGGGCATTGTAGGTGGGCACCTGAATAATCCCAGCTATTCAGGAAACTGAGGCAAGAGAATCACTTGAGCCCAAGAGTTTGAGGTTGCTATGAGCTTTGATGCCACGGCACTCTACCGAGGGTGACAAACTAAGACTCTGTCTCAAAAAAACCTTCCTTGCCATTTGTGAATTGACACTTTTAAAAGAATTCACAAACACATTTTCATCTCTACATCTGAGTATAACCTACACACACAACGCCCCAGAAGCACCCAGAGCTTGGTGGCCTAAGTCCTACTTCCCAGGAGGATCCCAGGGCCCAGGCAGGGAAAGGGTAAGAGGAATCAGAGCACCGTGATGAACCAGAAAGTGGTCAGTGGTCAGGGACGCGCCACAGGGCCATGAGCCAGGCAGAAGGTCGGCCGCCTGCCGCACAACGTGAACAAAAAGGCAAGTACTGACAGTGAGAGACCAGAACCCACAGTAAAAATCCTGCCTCTGTCTGGAGGAGGAGGACAACAAACCCAAGAGAAAGCCTTCTGGGAGCTCACAGCAGCAGGTGGGCTCACCAGGAAGGCGGCTCGACTCTCCAGCCTGACCTCTGCAGGGTACACTCTGGCTCCTGCAGGGCAGGGATGATGCCTCCTGGGGTATCACAGCTGCCTCCTCGGTGTGAACTGGGCAAGGGGCTCCACCCCCAAACCCTAGGGCCCTGGGCCCCCTCCTTTACGGGGTCTTGACTGGCAGAGCATCCCTGACAAAGAACAGGGTGTCCAAGGCATGAATGTCATGTCTGGAACTCAGCACCAGGGTGTGCACACAGGGACCGCGAGCCTCCGGCTGGGTGCCAGGCTCTGCAGGCAGCTCCCTGCTGCTGACGTGCCATGCAGTCCCACTGTGCAGTCCCATCTAGGGTAGCTTATCCTTTGATAAGGTCTGTACTGACTCCACCACAGAGGAAACCATCACAGGGCTTGGCAGGCGCTGTCTTCTCTCCACCATTCTGAACATCCACATCCTGCCCTGATCAGAGCCACTGCCTCTGAACCCGAGGAGCACCCCGCGGATTCACTGCCCCTGCCCCTACTGGCTTCACTGAGCAGACCCTGCTGCCTGCCGGTGGCAGCCCTGTCCCCCACCACCACCCCCATGTGTCCCGGCCACCAGGCACACAGCAGATACCCCCAGCAAGACGATAATAAGACAAGAAAAAAAATAAAATGCCAACCCGTTCCCCACATACCTTTGTGTGGAGCTTGGCCAATTGTTTCTCATCAAGATGGGATTGTTTATATACCCGCTTCTTGTATCGAAACTGGCACAGAAACAGACAAAAAAGAAAACAAACAAATAAATACTTTACACGACTATTCAGAGGAAAAGTCAACTTTGTTTTCCTTGGCTAGTTCACTGAGGCCAGGAAACTCCATAGCAGACTCCTCCAGTTTCAAATAAACTACTTGTATTTTGAGTCTACAACATCCTAAGAATCACTTTTGGCAAGATTCTGCAGGAATTTAGCTCAAACGTCGTAAGAACAGAAGAGAGCAACAGAAAGAAGATGGGGGAAGGATCCTCTTAGAGCGGGAAGCCCAGCTGCCTCCACACCAGGGCCACTCTCCCCTGACTACGTGGGTGACCCTGACCAGGAATCCACAAAAGGGACGTTGCTCCCTCTGCCTTTGTTAAAACGTGCAGGAGAAGTGAGGCCGGGAGAAGCCCCACCTCCATGTACCCCAGGACTGGAGAACCACCATTTACCCCATTAAACTACAGCGCCTCCTTGGAACTGGAAACTACATTGCATGGCCCGGAAGCACCTGCTACTCAGATGCAGTGACTGGGCGAGAGGCCAGCAGCCTTGTCACAGCCTGACTGACACCTCTGCCTCTCCCAGTAAACGGAAGCCCTTTGGTCACTACATGGGCTGGGGACGAGTCACTCAAGCTGGGCACTTTGCTGCCTCGCCTCAGTTTGTCCTTATCTGTCCCTTGGTGGCCTGAGGGTCAAATGTGAGCTTCCTGGCACATCAGTGTTCCTGGACAGGTGCTATTTTATCCCTCCCTTGGTACCAGCACCCTCCGAGGTTAAACATCAGCTCAGTGGGAGCACAACCACCCCCAGATAAAAGGACGGTGCAGGGCAGTAAGCGGGCGAGCTAATCCCGGAACTGGTGAAGTTTCCAAGAGGACAACCTTATTCTGCTCTCTCCTCCACGCTAAACAAAACAGCAGTTCTACAAAAGACAAAATTCTTCTTTTGCACAGACTGAAACTTTTTTAAGTGCTCAAATAAATCAGCTGTGAAATCATAAAGTTCTGGGAGACCCAGACTACACAGAGCTCTGGGATAAAGTGTGGTCAGAACATCCATGTCCCTGGACAGACCCACTGGGGAGAGCCCTGGCCCCTTTCAGGATTTCTACCCAGAGTCTAGGTTCAACCAAGGCAGCCACACTACGGGACCAATAGCACCTCTGGGGCAGATTTCAGAAACCACCAAGAAGGACACCAGGAGTCCCCAGCCCCTACAATAATGTGGCCAAACTGAAAAGCCTTGATGCGTTCAACTCAATGGACCCTTTTTTTAGTTATAAAACACTAGGGCCCTTAACATCTCTCAGCAAGAGCGTAGGTTCTCAAGAGGAGAATCTTTATTCCAGAGCCATAAACACAGCTGTTGGCTAGAGGAGCACCAGCTCTGAACCACAAATGCTCTTCTTGCCATTTCCAGGGCTTTGTAAGTAGCCCAACCACATCGTACTGAGACCATCCCAGGCAAAGCACTCAGCAGGATGCCTGCCTCTGATGTGTCAAGCCTCCGGCTGCCTCAACACTCTGAGGAAGACTGCTTGGCAGGATGGTGGGCGGGGGGTGGGGGAGGTGAATTAATGTAAAAATCAGCAATGATCTCATGAAAAATGGATCAATCAGGGCAGCAGCCACATGCCAATTTGGTGCGCTTGCTGGTAGCCGGGCTTACCCCTGCACACTGCTCCTTCCCAGAGTCTCAAAGCCATGCCAGAAGTCACACTAACACCCCCGCTATTCCATGCCCAGCATCTGGGGCTCTGATAGGCGCAGTGTCTGGCTAAGACTGTACAGCTATAGGCACTGGGGCCAGAGCAAGACGAGGCTCCTGGAATTTCGGGTCTTGTCGCCCGGTTTTACTCTTGTTATAGAAACCATCAGCCCCTGAAATGAACTGTGTTGATTCCCGGCCCATGCCCTCCAACTAGAATATAAGTGTCGTGTGACTAGAACCCCAACTTTCACCGTAAAAACACCCACGGTGGATGTGCTCAGAAAGTGTCTGCTACTTAGTAGGTCCCCAACCACCGATTTTTCCTGACACCCATTTTACAGATAAGCAAACTGGGGTCAGAACAGAGAAATGAGTTGCTCTGAACCACATAGTCCCCAAGTGGTATCCTGTGTTTTCCTCCATGGAAACCCTGGTCCAACACACAGTCCACAGTAGGGATCCCAGTAGCCCCAGCCTCAGAGTCATGATGGAAACCAGAAATATGCAGATGAGTTTCCCCTCAGTCCAGTCTGGTATCTGGACATCTCCCCCACTAATCCAGTGGCCAAGGAGAGAACCCACTCTGATGGCTCGAGTACCGAGTGCAACCACCCACGTACTGCCTCTCATTGTCTGATAAAACTAAAATGAGGACCTTCCTCGATAACAAGGGCAGATGTGCAGCAGAAATAGCCCAGCACGCCATGCGTATGTTGTCGGGAATCCTGCATATAAGCCTGGGGTGCAGCAAGTGGGAGTCAGAAGGCAAGGACAGGGGGTGTGCTGTACATGGAAGCATGCAAGGCTGCCCCACTGGACACATCAACCGCATCGCTAGGGAAGCCCAAGAGTCTGCGGTAGAGAAAGCTGCTCAAAGAGGCTGCCGGTCGCTCTCACGGCAGGAAGCAGAAAGGAGTCTGCGCTACCGAGAACAGCTGAGGGGTCACGGCCACCTGCCCCCGCAGGCAGGGAGACCGGTCATTATGCCTCATTCCTGGGAAACCCTCAGCGCCTCCTGAGTGGTGAGGGTCTCCTTGGCATGCAGTGAGATGACTCCCAATTCCCAGGCAGCTTCCAGATAGAGGCTGATGGCCAGAAAAATCAAGCCAAGATTAGGGGGCCGGGACTTCCAGCCTCACCTGTGACTTCCAGGGAGGAGAGAGTGGCTGGAAGCCCAGGAGGGCTGGAGATTTACCCCACCCTGCCTAGGGACTGGAACTTCCATCAACATTCTGAAACAACAGGGTTTGGGAAGCTTCTGAGTTCGCAAACATGTCCACATACAGGGAGGGTGGTGCCCCCAACTCCAGGGGAAAGACACTCCTGTTTGGGAGCCGAGGGCCTCTTCATCTGCTGTTCGTTCATCTGTGTCCTTCACAACAGACCCGCTGATAGGACAAAGTGCCTTCTGCAGCTCTGGGAGCTGCTCTAGCAAATGAACACACCCAAGGAGGGGGTGGAGGGAACTCCCGGGTAACGGGCGAACTGGGCAGGAGCATAGGGGACCCTGGGACCTGGCCCTTGCTGCTGGCAGCTGAAGTGAGGGCAGTGCTGAAGAGCTGGGCCCTAAACCCACACTTAGTGTCAGAACTGGATTAATTCTGTTCACACGGTTGGCATCCAGAGAGCTGGAAAAGCAGGCTCGGGAAGAACTGTGAATTAGGTGACAGGAGGAGGACAGTCCCCTGCAGGGAGGTGGAAGGGGCCCCAGGACTCACAGGTCCTAGGAATATGAGCTTAAATCATACCCCAGGTGTGTTCACACCAAGAGTTTGCCCCAACAGATTCTCTGAATCTGTAGTAAGAAAATGACAATTTCACAGCAGTCCAAAATTCACAGCACAATTAGGTGCAACTTCAAGACCTCAAGCTCAGTTTTCAATCTGAGGATAACTTCCCAATCCAAAGGGAGTTGTGAGTTTAGGTGAGATCTTCCCCCTGCCCCCACGGTGTCCAGGCTGTGAAGTGAGCAGGGGCAACTGCGGCAGCCCCCCGCTGAAGTACCTCCAGGGAGGGGACCCCCTGGCCCAGGGGCTGCGGGTACTCGCGCAGCAGCCGCTCCTCGTCCAGGAACTTGCCGTCCCGCCCGTTGCTGGCCGGCTGGAACAGCCCGTAGTTGAGGACGTCTTTCAGGCTCTGGTTCAGCGTGCATAGAACCCGCTGCTTTGCGACCCACACCGTGGCATCTGGGTTGAATCGGATGCATTTCTGCCAAGAAGGACAAAGGTGGCTGGTTAGTGGTGCAGCCCCATCCCCATCCCCATCCCCATCCCGGCCTGTCTCCCACAAGGGACACGGGGTCAGAGACACCAAAGCCACGTGTGGGCACACCTTCCTGACAGTGTCTCTAAGCCTTACTGCTAAGATGGAGAAAGTTTTTACTGATAAAAGATCAAACCAAAACCCAGCCCTGGCCAAACTGCAACAACAAAAAGATGAAACCAGCCACAACATTCCCTTAAGTCAAAAGTTAATCTAGAGCAGGGTCCCAACTCTCCTCAAGTCCACGAAGACCGAGAGAGGTGAGGGAGCTGCAGGAGAAGAGGATGAAGCCAGCAGAGGCGGAGGACTCACAACGATCAACACTTGACAGCTTCCCACCCCCCCCCCACACACACACAGAAAATCTTTCCTCAGGGCCACAGTGTTTTATTACAAAAACAGAATAAAAAGTTGGAAAACAAAATGATCCTAAAACACACATCAATATAAGTGAGTAATGTACAAAGTAACAAGAGAACTTGAAAAATAGTTCATAACTCCCATGGCAGGTGGTGCGTGAAGGAGAGAAGCCGTTTCCATAACGTGCAATTGCAAGGTGAAACAGCAGGAGGCGACGGAGAGGCTGCAGGAGGCGACGGAGAGGCTGCAGCGGGCGACCCAGAAGGTCTGGCTGAGATCAACAAAGGGGGATACAGGAAACAGCCAGTTTTCACTGCAGACAAAATAGACATCTATTGAAAGAAGATGCCATCTAGGACTTTTAAATCTAGAAATCAGAGGTCAGTGCCCTGGCTTCAAGCCTTCAAAGGATAAGCTGACTCTCCTGTTAGGGACTAATGCAGCTGGTAGCTTTAAGGTAAAGCCAGTGGTCACTTATTACATAAAATCCCTTAAGAATTATACTGAATCTACTCTGCCTACACTCTACAAAGGCAGCAACAAAGCCTGGATGACAGCACACCTGTTTACAGCGTGCTTACTAAATATTTTAAGCCCACTTTTGAGATCTGCCGCTTACAAGAAAGGATTCCTTTCAAAATATCATTATTTGTTGACAATGCACCCAAGAGCCCTGACGGAGATAAACAAGAAGATTAATGTTGTTTTCACACCTGCTAACAAACACAACATTCATTCTGCAGCCCAGGGATCAAGGAGTAATTTCAGCTTTCAAGCATTATTATCTAAGAAATACATTCCATAAGGCTACAGCTGCCAGAGACAGTGATTCCTCTGATGGGGCTGGGCAAAGGCAACTGAAAACCTTCCAGAGAGGATTCACCATTCCAGAAGCCACCACAAACATCTGTGATTCGTGGGAGGAGGTCAAAATACCCACATTAACAGGCGTTTAGAAGATGCTGATTCTGTCCCTTGTGGGTGACTTTGTGGGGTTCAAGGCTTCAGTGGAGGAGGTCACGTCAGATGTGGTGGAAAGAGCAGGAGAACTACAGTTAGAAGTGGAGCCTGGAGACGCGGCTAAACTGCCGCCAATGTCAGACTCGAACTTGAGCAGGTGAGGAGGTGCTTCTATGAATGAGCCAAGACGGCGGTTTCTTGAGATGACAAGCAATCTTTGTTTAGAGTGCTTTGTTATCCTTCTGAGGGTTTTCTTTCGTACCTGCTCTCTGAAGCCCTGGCCTTCGATGAAGGGACCTTGCTTTTTCTTAGCCTCTGCATCTTTTTCCTAGAGAGACGCACAGCCTGGCACACAGGCGGTGAACGTTGTTGTAATGACAAGGAAGGATGGAGAACATTACATGAACTTGGTTAGGATGGAGAACATTACATGAACGTGGTTAGGATGGAGAAC